AGTTTATAGGGTATAAAAGGTATAGGTTTATATGCTTTTAATTATTTGTAAATACTTCTTTGTGTCTGTCTGCTTGTTTATATGTTCATGTCTTTTTTTCATGTTCGAAGTAAATATCAAGTATCAATATCAAAGAAATAAGAACATGTTTGGAGTTAACCAAAAGCCATGTGGGAAACATATGGAAGAAGGTACTCTGGTCATATGAGACTAAAATTAAACTTTCTGTCCACTCTGTCATAAAGCCCAGCTCTGTAGAGTGTACAGCTCAAAGTAGTCCTGTGAACAGATACTCCCGTCTCTGCTGTGGAGCTTTCCAGCTCCTTCAGGGTTATCTTTGGTCTCTTTGTTGTCTCTCTGATTAATGTCCTCCTTGCCTGGTCTGCGAGTTTTGGTGGGCGGCCCTCTCTTGGCAGGTCTGTTGTGGTGCTACATTATTTCCCTTTTTGTTATAATGGATTTAATAGTGCTCTGTGGGATGTTCAAAGTTTCAGATATGTATTTTTGAAACCCAACCCTGATCTGTGCTTCTCCAGAACTTTGTCCCTGACCTGTTTGGAGACCTCCTTAGTCTTCATGGTGCTCCTTGCTTAGTGGTGATGCAAACTCTGGGGCCTTTCAGGTGTACGTATACTGAGATCAAGTGACACTTAGATTGCACACAGGTGGACTTTACTGAACAAATTATGTGACTTCTAAAGATAATTGGTGGCGGTAGGTCCTTAAGTTACTTCATCATAGCAAAGGGGGTGAATACATCATATGCACGCATCACTTTTCCCTTTTTTATTTTTCAGAAGGTTTTAAAAACGTGTTTTTTCATTGCACTTTACCAATGTTGATTCTTTTCTGTGGGTCCATTACAAAAAAATCCAATAAAAATCCATTTCAGTTAAAGGTTGTAACACAATGAAATAGGAGCAACGACAAGGGGGGGTGAATACTTTTGCAAGGCACTGGACTAAAATGTTGCATCAATTTTTTTATATGGACGTCGAATTCAATTATGTGCAAGGACCAAAAAACTGAATGAACACCTTGCATTTTTATCATTTAATCCAAGTGTGATTTTCTTTAGGATTTACTAATTGCATAGCAATGCCATTCTGTGGTACAAACTTCAACAGCTTTAGCTCTTGAGAAAAACAGGCAAATCATTGTGGCCTGTTACAAGCTGAGCTGATCTTTTGTTTGTCTGAAAAACAAAACCTCTGTGCTGAGCTGCAGTACGCTGACACAGTGCCTTGGTGTCTATTGTCACGGCAGCACGACAAACCAGAGGGCATACGGAGCATCAATATGTCAATATCACTGTTGTCAGATGAAAATGCTGCTACATCGCCTCTTGATATCCATAAACAGGTTATTGTGAAGTTAAAAAACAGTTATTCACTCATACATCCTAAACAAAGACTTCAGAAACTTGCTTGTAAAAACACATTCTTTGGTTTCAGCCTCCCACGGGAATGAAAAGCAAAACCTTTGCAGTGTTCAGAGCAGTATGGGCTCGTTGTTGAAGCAAAGTGAATTACAGCTGCTTGGATAACTTGATCCTCCAGAGGATCTATCCTGGGAAGGTCAGATTACATTTGTTTGATAGCTGTTCAAGCAAGAACAGAACACTTAATAAAGACACCCTGGTTCTGCCTGCCTGAATTAATTATACACAGTTCAAAGCTTCCCTCTGCTTTGAAGTAATTACATCTCAGAGCTAGACCACTGCAGAGAAGCCAGTGATTACTTTTTGATTTCTTTGCTCATATGTCCCACACTGCCATGATGCAAACAACACGCCTAAATTAAGTTGTTTTTGGGAAATGAAATTAATTGTGATGTTGAAAAAATCCTGTTTTCTACTGTTGGTGTGCTCTATAAAACAAAACAAGAACAAGAAAAACAGGTAAACAAAGTCACTTTTTGTTCGGTGGAAGCAGAGGCGAGATAAATCTTGTTCAGACTTGCATAAAAGTAAGCTGCTGTTTGGTTGGTCGTGATTTCACAACAGACACGGTCAGATAAGTTGTACATGCAAACACTTTTTTTATCAGCTGTCACTGACTAATGGTTTTTATTGACCCAGTGTCTGTTGACCCCTTTATCCACCTGAAAACAGTCTCTCCTGATTACTGCCCCTCTTCCTGTGACTGTCCTGTATTTGTGTGATGAGATTATTTCAAACGAACAAAGCAAGATGTCACAAGGAGATAAAACACAAAGCATCTGTGTTGGCAGTGCGTTGTGGCTTTATTCGAACGCGTCTGTTTCTTCACTTGCACCGGAAATTAACTTTCTGTCAGCAGTGTATTCCAATTAAATGTCACTGCAGGGTTTGTTTTTCAATGTCAAACAGAAATGTCAACATTTCTATCAAGATCTCTATTGATCCCTACTCTGTGGTGAACCTCTTCACCTCTGCTAGCTATAAAGCATCATTAAAGCTGCTCTTACAAATTGTATTCATTTCAACAAAGGAGTAGACATATGTACAGATCATCATCTTTGTCAGTCAGCTAGTCTCTGATGTGTCATGCAGTTTGCATGGCAACACATTTGTGCTGCTTTTCAACTCATCTGTGCATGTCGCAGACTAGACAGAGGGACATTGTTGGGAGTGAACTGAAATGTTAATAGACATGTGACCTGATCTTCATTCAGTGAGGCTGTCTTTGTAGATCAGATGGATACTGAACCTGAATTGAAATTACTATTTGTGCAGTCTTTTGAGGCATGCTTTGTGACTGGTCTCACTCTGAAGTCGTCAAAATCTGCTTGGGCAGTGACTCGTGGTGTCAGACACTGACGACAAAAGCTGTCCTTTAACATGGTGGTGGTGGCTGTTATATTTTAATGGTGCTTGGCAGCGTCAGGGGGAAACACGGCAGGACAAGAATGAAAGTTAAGGCAGTGAACGTACAAGTAGGGCTGGTGTGAGGTGTGGTCCAGGAGAGCAGTGTTCACCTTGTTCTTTTTCCCTAAACCTAACCACGTGCTTTTGTTGCCTAAACAAAACCACGTGCATTAGTTGCTGGAGAAAAAAAAAGGTCAATTTGAGGTGCTGTACCAGCATAGTGTGTTTATTTTGAAAGAGACTGTATGTAAACAGAAATTTTCCTGTGAAAATGGAAGTGTTTTGAAAGACAATGCATGTAACAGGCAGAACTTGACACGGCATCCTAGAACCTCAACAACCAACGCACCCAGGGTACCTTGCACGTCGTGTCTGGATGTGGAAGGTCCATGACCAAACGTCGATATGTGACAAGGCTGGAGTGAGAATGTGTTGCACTTTGGGTATGAAATGTGCTGTATAGATACATTTTCTGATTGAGATCTTGTCCACTGATATTTCACTATTGAAACCAGACTTTATGTTCAGACATGATGAGCTACAATAGTGTGAAAAAATTCCGCACTTTTGATCTGTAACCTGATTAGTTGTGCTGCTGCATTCCCTGAATGTCTCTGCAATTTCACAGTGTCGTAGTGACCATTTAGCGCTACTGCATGTTTCTGATGGATGGCTGGTTCCTTGGGTGTCAACATGCTTCAGGAGAAAAAAAAGCAAAAACATCTGGTAAGTATTTTCTGCTGTGGGGTCAATCTACAAAAGACTCTCAGGAAGCCCCCTACCAACTAGAAGAGAAAGAGCTGCATTCACACACACACACACACACACACATAAGCACAACTAGACTCAAATACCACACAAACCAAGATTCTGGCTTTGTTCAAGATCCTCTGCATTCTCACACTCAAGGTTAAGCATGTAACATCAACAGTCCAACTATGGCGCAATCTGTGAAAACCCCCTCGGTTTAGTCAGCCTTATTTTGGTTGGTTTTGTGTCTTGGAGTTTAAAAGATGTGTCACAGAAAGGAGGGCATAATGTCTTCTCTGTCTCACAGGACAAAACACTCATTGCCTGACACACACAGGAGAACTGTAAGCTGCCATGACTGAAACCCGGCTCTCTCTCCCTCTTTCTCCTTTTCTTTACTCGTCTCCTTCCCAGTCACCTCCTTGGCAGGTTACCAGCCCAGTGTAGCATGGTATCCTGCCAAACCCTGGCGTGTCTGCCCACTTCAATGTCTTTTCAGGACCATTCAAGATCGAGAGTGTGTGTATGTTTCTGTGTATCCAGACACTTTCAAGTAAATAAAAAAAAATTTTATACACAACATGTTGCTGAGTTGTAAAAAGTGAAGAAAATGCTGTGAGGGCAAACCACCAAGATCTAAGCTTTCCTCTTGTCCTGCAGAGGGACACACCCTGCTATGAGTCAGTCCCATGTGTGGATACAAATCACATAGTGCTTTGAAAAACAGGATCTCTAGCGAAATTATAAATACAGTGTCGACACTGACACAATCTTTCCTTGCATGTGGTTTTGTTTTTAACGATTCTTTGTGCTCCTACGCTGACACACCTAACAAGTGTTGACATTTTCACACAGAACAAACAGCAGTCATTCAAAGAGTTAGAAGAGTCAATTTATTACACATATGATTCATATATATAAAGTTATATACAATATAGTTACATACATACAAATATAAACCTCTACACCAAGACATCTGACTTTCAATTAACCAACTGAAAAGGTGGATTTCCTTTAAAATCTCAAAATCTTAACAATAAAGGCCCCGAACCTTCACAGATCGCTGACATTCATAAACTCTAGTATGCAGTCTTGAGGCTTATCATCCTCTTAGGTCCACAGAAATACCACAGAGATGGGAAGGTGACATTAAAGATTACAGCACAGTGCAGCTCGCATTTAAACATCAACAGAAAGCGACATTACTTCATTACCAATTATGTGCGAATTGTCATACTTCACTGGTCAATTCTGCTTCAAACAAGCATTTTGGTTGGCTGGAGACTGATTTGACCGCAGTCACAGCTTGTTTAGTCCTGTTGTGTAATGTCAAACAGACAAAACAATGTCAAAGGCTGCTGACCTACTTTGCAAAGGCTGTGCACCAAACTTACTGTCATTATGACGGTAAATCATCCAAACATAATGGACAAAATGTCAGATTTGGGCTGGTGGACATAGAAAAAAATTCAAGTAATCAAATGGTCATTTGTGGGTGTAACAAGAAAAGATCTTCAACCCTCGACAGTTACAAACATAACTGTAAGCTTCCCAAAACCACGCTTAATAAAAGAATTCTGGTTCTTGGATGTACAGTTCAATATTTTTGGGAAATACGCACATTCACTTTCTTGTCAGGAGTTAGAAAAGAAGATTGATTCCACTGTCATGTCTGTATGGGTAAATATACAGCTACAGCCAGCAGCTGGTTAGCTTAGCTTAGCATTAAGACAAGAAACAGCCAGCAATGCTCTGTCTGAAGGTAAAATCTACCTATCTGACATGTCAAATCTCATTTCTTTTATCTGTAGAAAACACAATGTGCTGATTAGTGAGCTTCTGAGAACTTTCTGACAGAGCCAGGCCAGCTGTTTCCCCGTTTCCAGTCTGTGCTAAGCGAAGCTAACCATCTGCCAGCTGTAGCTTCATATTGAACAAACAGACATGAGTGGTTTCAATCTCCTCATCTAACTCTGGGCTAGAAAGCTAAATCGTCCCTTTAATCATTCCAACAAAGCATCACATTCAAAGTCAAATAAAATTCTTAGTGGTCAACAGTAAAATATTCTTCAGTGTGGGTTTTATGAGCAATGCATAGAAGGTTTTGTATTCCACTGGATGACATTTAGGCCATGTGTGAGTGCATTATCTAAAAAATACCACGACTGGAATAAGTGCAAATAACTCTTAAAATGGTCCCACTTGAAATGAAGTACATAACGTACAAACATTACTGAAATTTTTGGATTCATGAAAGGTTCTCTACCAGTTTAGGCTACATGTTAAGATGTGAAACAAACGGATCTGTGCTATGAAGACTGCTGTACATTTTGTCTTTTTTTGTATATTTTGTTTTTAGGTACTGCATTTATGATACTTCAGTCAAGAGTCCATGAGGGTTACTTTAAACCTTTAAGACGTATTCCAAAGGTTCACCTTGGAATGCAGGTAACTGAATGAAAGTTACATAAAAAAGTGTTTTGCATATGAAAGCAGATAAGGCACAGCTCTGGCATCTGGATTGTAAGGGCCAGGGTATTCCCTGTCAGAACTCGGTTGTATGATGTGTTCTCTTACCATGGTGGGAATCAAGTGTTTATGGTTATATCCGACATTTGAAAGGTGTGGGTAGGAAGGGGTTTCCGAAGCTATTGGCACATCCAGCAAGCACTTATGATGGAGGATACTGGCCCCTTTAGGAGTGGTCCATTTCCACAGGCACTGTTTCACAACACAATGCCCTCCACATTACAGTTCAGCACCTCATTGTGTTGGACCTGCCCCAGCTGCCGGTGAAACTGCCCCTGTTTCTGGGTCCTCCAGCAGTGGATGCTTCGTCCCAGTGTAATACTCTTAATACTGGGCAGGTGGGTCAGTATGTTATTTGGCAAAGACGCCACACCAGAGCCGGACAAATTCAGCTCTTGCAGGGAGTCTAGTCCACTGAAAACCACAGGGCTTAAGGTCTTGAGCTTGGGGTTGTTTGAGAGATCCAGAACCTGCAGGCTCTGGAGGCCCTTGAAGCTGTTTGGTTCGATCTCCTGAAGCTCAGGGAGCCCACTGATTGATAAATAAACCAGATCTTTCAGCTGAGCAAAAGCTCCCTCCTTGATCTGTGCGATGGGGTTACCATCCAAATTGAGATACCTCAGCGGAAGTCCCGCAAGCCTCGGTACGCTCGACAGCCAGTTCGCTGACAGATTTAAGCTTTGAATGTGTAACACTCTTCCACGCAAAGTCGTGGAGACTGACACGAGCTTGTTATGAGATAGATCAACGCTGACAGGTTCACCATTGACTTTAGTAGTGAACACGTCCAAGTCGAACTCTCTGAAGCTGTTGTGGCTGAGGTCAACTTCAGCCAGTGGGAGGCCGGAGAAGCAGGTTGGGAAGAGGCTCTCCAGGTTGTTATGGCTCAGATCCAAAGTCTCCAGGTAGCGCAGCTTGGACAAAGCACTGGGTGTTACCTGAAAATGTGAAGGCAAGGAAGGGATAAAAGACAAGGAAAACATTTTAAGAGTGGCAAGGGGTGATAATACACTGAAATAAAACTATACAATGACTTTTGACATATATGTATTGATATATGTCAGAACTTGATTGTTTTAGTCTATAAATCTGTAACTTTTCTGTCCTTAGAAAACTTGTAATATTTGTAATGACTGAGGAATATACACAAATGTATCCAGTCAAACTTTGGGGTGACCAGCATACCTTTAATGTCATTAAAAAATGCTCTTAACTGTTAGCTCATAGTACCTAGCAGGATGTCATAGCTGGATGTGTTTGAATATCAGTAAACAAAAACTTTTACAATTACAAAAAAAGCTTAATTATGATCTCATTTATTAATCTTTCATGATAAAATCATTGAAATGTTTGGGACAACTTTATTCATTGGATTAAAATGTGCTATATCGGGATAGGTATCGTTATTGGAATATGAAATGACCTATATCGGGACATGAGATTTTGGTCATATCACCCAGCCCTACCTGTGAGTGTACTAAATTAGGGACTGACACATTTAATTGATTATAGAGTGTGCAAATTATTCATTAAAAGGTTACATCGCCTTGTTTGAGACCAACAGATTGATGCTTGAGTTCCTCCATCCACTGACCTTTGTTATAAGGTTGCTGCTTAGGTCCAAGCTAATGAGGGTGGTGTAGCCTGGACCGGCTAACATGGTGTCACTGAGTGGGCCCATGGCGTTGGAGGACAGGTCTAGGTGGGCAGTGTCCAGTGGGATGGGGATGGGCATGGTGGTGCCGGGTCCCAACCCTCGGCAGTCCACCCTTGTCAGACTGAAGCTGTCGAACAGGCCAAAGCTTTCCACCTCACAGCGGCAGCCAGGGTGGCAGTTCTTGACCGCGCTGGACTGGGCGGAGGCCAGCAGCGACAGGCCGATCCACAGAAGGAGTGCCATTTTGCTCTGGAGAGAGAATTATTTACATTTAAAACCTTTTCACACGACACTCCCATGGAGGTTAGAAAAGTTGTCTCTCATGAAAACCACCATTTATCATGTTTAAATCACATTTCAAGCTACAATCACCGTGTGAGAGAGATGCATTACCTCAGTCACCAGAGCGGATCAGTTCAACTGGTCCAAACTCCTTCACAGAGCACCTTGTTTGTGGTTTTAGAAATTACAAGCACTGTTCCTTCTCAAATGCCATCTTCAAGGTATTTGTTAAACTTTTTGAAAAAACTTAAAGCTTTTATTTGTGCAACTTGAGTAGCCCTAATTTCCCTCCCTCTTGGCTTCCCAACTGGTGTGACCTGATTTCTTTGATCAAAGAGTTCATTTGCACTTTCTTAGTTTACTCAAAAGAATGAGTGTGCATGGTTGTAAAAAATGAAAACTTGAGCGTACTGTAAATCAGGGACCTTAAAATATCTCTGCTCCTTCTTAAAAATTAGGAAAACCAAGATGAGCCCACTACCTGAGCATATCCTCTGAGCCCAATGCATGAAGACGGAAAAAAATCAGACACAACTTCTCATTCTGAGTTTAATTATACTGGTATATGGTCTAATACTTACAACACTACATCTGGAATAATAGCAGAATGGAAAGCTTCAAAATGAAAAAAATAATTAATTAAACAACAGAGGGAAACAAACCCTGCCCTCTCAAAATATATGGATCAATAAGTTAAAGCATAGGATTCCTTAAAAATGATTAAAGAACCAAGTAAATTCTGTACATACAAATAAAGATTAAGCGAAAAAGTGGCTGTAAAATCTAAAATCTAAAAACAGTGATTAGTTTTATTTTAAAACAGCTACTGTACCTTTGCCGTAGTTGTTGCTGTTGTTCCTCTATGTGTAAATAAGAGCAGAATGGTGCTTACCCAGTTTAACTTATGCAATGTGTACACACGCGCACGCACACACGCACACACACAGACACACACACACACACACACACAAGCACTTAAATGAGTATGAAAATTGGACAGAGGTTAAGAGTTGTGTAACAGGTAGAAAAGAACAGTCATGGTCAGGTCACCCCAGGCATGACACAGCAGAGCATGTGTTAAAGATCCACCTCAGATGTTAACAGTTTGTTCCTGAATGACAATAAACAGGACACTACTGTCATCACTTTTGTTGATCATTCACCTAAACTGCTCAAAATTTAGAATTTACAAGTTCAAAAGCATTTTTTATGGGGAATCTAGCTTCTCGAAGAAATGCAAGTTGGTGTGTTCTTGCAAGAAAAAGTAAAATATTAATTCTCTCTGATCCTCGACCTGACATTTGTTTTAAATTCTGACTCTTTTTGGGGTATGCAGTGAGAATGTACTCAGGGACTCGCTGTTATCAGGCATATCTCTCAGGGGTTACAGTTATTCATCTTGGCTTATGTAAGAGGATGAGGTTACAGAGCTGCATAGTATTTGGTCTACATATGCAGGCTGATTAGCGTGGCTCAAAGTCTACTCAGACAGAGCTGATCACCTCTGTGCCGCGTTTCTTTAGATTTAACCCCTGAAGTCCCTGACTATTACTGGCTGCTTGTAATGCTGCTGATAGTGAACAAGTTTATAAAGAAATCAACTGAATGGTGTTTTTTATATTTTAAAATGTATTACTAGAATTTTCTTCTACCTACATAAAGGGTGTACATGTAATATTACTAACATAAAAGTTTTAATAAACTTTGTTCACCCTGTTATGTTACATGACAAGTTAGTGTCTGATGTTTTCATGGTTGTGTGTAGGTGTGTGTGTTCTCAGCGAAGGCCTGAGTCCCTCCAGCTGTGGGTTTTGACCTAACAGGAACGGGCGAGGTTTATGACTGTCAAATTGAGCTGAGTACACAAATCTTTCACTCGCTGAACAAAATTTAACAAGATTTTTTCTGGTTGAGCTCTTCCGAAGCTAAATAGTCCACCCACGGAATGAACCACCCGTAAAGAACACAGCGGGGGAAACCTGATGAATGAATGCTCTGTATTTTAAAGATATCGTGGCACGGTGTGTCATGCATAGTGTTCTGCAAATTAACTTTGCACTTGCAGTTTCTAAAGCAACTGCTTAAAGGTCCAGTGTGTGGGCTCTAGGGGGATATATTTGCATAAATGTAATGTAATAAGTGTGTTTTCTTTAGTGTACAGTCACCTGAAAAAAGGAATCGGCATGTTTTTGGTACCTTAGAATGAGCCATTTATATGTATATAGGAAGCGGGTCCTTATTTATGGAGACAACTATGTTTTCCCAGAACGGACAAACCAAGCACTTCAGTGTTTTTACCGGATTTAATTACCTGGGGTCTCATTTATAAAATAACGCTTAGGATCCGTACTAAAAATATACATGGGGACAAAAGCCAAAAGTGGCACGCACTGAAAAATATTCAACCATTTCTACAATCAGGCTTCCACCTCACCATCTGCATCACCTATTTCCCATCTCCAAAATTCCTCTCTCAGGCCTCGTTTTGTGCATACGCAATGTTTGAGACCCCTGTCCCATTTGTTTTGGAGAGAAAGAAACCTTTGTGGAAAATGTGGCTCCCAGTTAAAACCTTCTGAGCAATGAACACTGATGCAATCCTAACCAGGAGTTCACACTTGGCACACTGGAGAATTTTCAGCTTGCCATATGCAATCCTCATTGCTACTAAATCCTACACACTGACCCAATAACTCTTATTCTGTGTGTATTTACCACATCATTAGCTGTCATTTCAAAAAAGATAATAGGGTCGTTCTCCGCCCTCTCTGCAATTACAAGTTTTGTTTCACCTCAAGCAAACTACAGGCCTCAAAGAGGTCAGCCTTGTCGGGAAACCACAGAGAAGCCATATGCCGACTAAACATGGGAAACTGCCAGTAAAACCAAGTGGTTATACGCCTTTTACGTCTACCACACTGGTCTTCAGCAGCTCGTCACCTCCGTGTGGTTTTGCAGCCACATTCGTCCGTCCCTCCTTCCTTTCCTGCATCCTTTGCTCCATCTGTTGCTTCGACAAGGACTGTGAACTTTCTGCACCAGGTGTTGCTCTTGACCTCTCACCAATAAATCTCAGCTAACGGCAAACTGCTGCTGGCGCTGCCTTCAAATCAGATACATTCTAACTATGGCAATTACCCAAAAGGCAATGGCAGTTAGAGCTGCGGACACCCTGAGTGGACAATTGGCAAAGGCCTGTGAAATCACGCCCCAACACCTTCTCCCTTTCTTAGGCCTTTTCACTCCTTTTGTATCCTGGGATCCTGCCGCTCTCTGAGGATCATCAGCCATTAGGTGCTCATTTATTTATTTACCGTCCTGCAGCCGGTGTATTGCTGTTCATGGCACGGTTTTCTTAACTAAACTAAAACTTATCAGCACGCAAGTTCGTGCAGACTTTTGCCGAGCTCTCCTACTGTGATTATCCAATTACCATAGTGTGTTATCAGTGTAAACACAATCATTTCATTCATCAAAAGCCAATATAAAAGCACCACTTTATTGCCCACAAGCAATACACTTATCTTAAGTCTTTACAAGATTTCTTTTTGCGGCTGGCTTGTCTTTATCTAAATTCATGCAGAAAAGAAAAAAAAAAACTCCTGCACATTTAAAGCAGAAGACAGAGTGAACGCACCAAACATAATACCCACTTACTTCTCTGATTTAACACATTTATTTGCATCTATGTCAAACATCATTTAGCCGTCAATTTGTTCAATATCCTCCAGCGCTGTGATGTATTCTTCGTGTCACTGAGACCGCTGTGTCCTAATTTAATCTTCAAGTTGAAGGCTGAAAACTGTGTAATTAGAAGATGGATGCCACGCTAATCCTTTTAAGCCAAATTAATGCACGACACTGAGGAGGAGGCAGTGATTTAAATTAAATTGATGGTACTTAAGTGTTTTAAAACAATTAGGCAGCACTGGGACGCCTAAAGTAACAGTGAATAAATAAAATCACAAACAAGGAGGCTGATCAAATTCATCAAAGTATATTTTAGCAAAGCTAGAGGAGATGGTATCACAGAACATGGTGATGAGAGATTCACTGAAGGTGTAGCTGACTGAATATCACCTAAGAAATAAATTAAACCCTTCTGTGTATGTTCTTCTAGCACTGTATTTTAGCACAGTTTTAAGGTACTTGTACATTATGTGTGAGTATTTCCATTTTGTGCTATTTTAAACTCGTCTTCCATCCAATAATAGAGGGAAATATTGTTCTGTTTAATTCAGTGCATTTATCTGACAGCTTTATTTACAAAGTTTGTTAGTTTTTTGGATACCCAAGATTAGTGTCACCAATTCAGCATCTGACCAAATGTCTCCCCTTCTGTTCCTGAAATATGATGTTGAGTAATGTGTTTTATAAATGCAGAATATTACTATGTCACAGTGAAGTTGACCTTGTCATAATTAGAGTGTGAATTCTTACAGTATTGCCAAAACATGCTTCGGTAGGGCACAGTGACCTTTCACCACCGCATTCTAATCAGTGAACATTTGTGCTACATTTCCCTCAAGGCATTCTTGAGAAATTGTGTTCACAAGATTGAGGCAGACAAGGTCACATTTACCCTGACCTTTGACCTATGGCCACTTAAGATCTAATCAGTTTATTGTTAAGTCAGGGGGGCCTTCTCTCAAGGCATTCTTGAGATATCGCTTTCACAACAATGGGATGGACAACCTGAAAACATAAAGCCTCTAGCTACAGCTATGGCAAGTGAAGAGGCATAGAAACAGTAAACAGAGTTAACAGTACACTACAATCTATCAGTCATAATAATCCAATAATGCAATAACATATCACAGACAGGGCCATTCTGCTTCATAAAGACCACTTTGACTTTGGAAACTTAAAGGTCTACTGTGTAAGATTAAGTGACATCTAGGGGTGAGACTGCAGGTGTGCCAAGCGTGTAGGAAGAATAAGGTGGCCGACACAAAAATACCAATGGCCCTAAACAGAGCCAGTGTTTGGTTCATCTGTTCTGGGCCACTGTACAACAACATGGCAGACTCTGTGTGAGCAGGCCCTCAGGAAGGGAAATTACAGTTTCTGGATCATCATGTGATGCACTGCGGCCAATTAAGACGTTTTCCCACTGAGTTACATGGAGAAAGAAATGTCCTGAAATTAGTGGGACATTTTTTGAGCATCATAACCCTGTGAAATGCCTCCCATAACCTTTGGAAAGTCTAGAAAAGCCACGCAATTGAATTATATTATCTCCAATCAAGTTAACAGAGGGTTAATTCAGAAGTAGCCAGCACAGCCTGTGGATGTTGCTAGTGTGCTTGATCTATGTGCCGCACAGTGCACAAGCAGTGCCCGATCTTTCGCATCATTTAATATGCAGCAGCTGAACCATTTGGTGTCATGCGCAACTTTAAAAGGAATGAATGGGACTCCACCGCCAATGCTGTATCCAAATCTCTTTATACATCCATGGATGGGAAAAGACTTGCCCAAATATAGCTCATTCTAGGGTCATAGATGTAACCAGCGGACTCAAGTGTTGTTTGCGTTGTGCTGACATGAAGAGGCCCAGACAACAGATATCTTTTGAGGGGATCTCTGTTTATTCCTGACAACTGACAGCAAGAGGTAAAAACAAATTCCTCCATCAATTACGACCATATAACTCGAGCCCCTACACAAATTAAGTGACACAGGAATGTATTGTTATACAATAAGTTTAAGCTGAAAAATGAAGTTATAAACTTAGCTTAAATTACTACCAGAGCAATGTCACTTAGGCTACCTCAGCAAAAAACAACAGCAAAAGGGGAGAGGCGAGGTGGGAGACACCCCTTTATAGGTGGGTTTTTAATTGATCCTATTACACAGAAACACAACGATTTTAAGTTATTATAAACTAATGAAAGTACATAAATACCCCTAAATCCTACACACTGGACCTTTAAGTGTATTTTGCGGTCCATACTTAGTTACACTTTGATAAATAATGTTTTTATTTCAAAGTACTTCTTCCACCAGTTTCTATCAAACACCAATCCTATCACCCCTTTTTCTTTCTATGCCAGATGTGTTTCCATGAGCTCTCCACCTCCTGGATGATGAAAGTCTGACCAGCTGTGTCAAACGTGTCACTGCCCTCTCTGCGTTACCACAGTGAGCCAGTGCCATGCCCTGGGAAGTTACCACAGGAGGCGGGTAACACTCACTGCATGGCACCTCCGCAGATCAAATTTCTTGCAGCCGTACGTGGCAGACCACGGAGAGAGCAGAGGACTCTGCTGCATGATTTTCGGATAAAACACCCCAAACAAGTATCACACGGATCACTCTTAAGTACCGTTCATTACACCTTCACTTCCAACCCCGCCCCTTCCAGCTGTCAATCACGTCTCCACATGTCACCTCTGCGCGCATCAGTCTCCAGAGTTTGCACACTCCATAAAGTTTCTTTCTCCGTCTGAATAATTTGCGGTAACGACACACGAGAGCCTGGTCAGTTCAGACGGGACACCAGGGGCGGTTTCTTCAACACAGAGGCAAACGTGAAACCTGATCTGACCACAGCGGTCCGCTGCTCCTCTGCGTTTCTGTGCCCGAAACTAACGCAAAAAAACTGTTGACTTCACAGACACTTTCTGACAAACAGGAAACAAGTGGGGGAATAGAAAATCGCTCCTACTTGTATTACCTTTCTTCTCAACTTGTGTTCTAGCTTACTTTGGTGCCTTTCATCCACTGTCCGCTTTTCGGCCGTCTTTCACTTCACCGCTCCCATTTTCCAGACCCCCGCTGCGTGCCCGCGTCCCCGTGGTTAGTGTGCCTGCTGGTCCACATGAGCTCTGCGGATCCCTCTGCGTGTCTGCTCCGCTACAATAAACTGTCAGGAGCTGGAAACACTGGGGCACACTCGTCTGTTCCCATCCCATAAAGTCCTGACTGGCCTCGGCTCGTTTTACCACTGTCAAGTTTACGAGAGTCTAATATAGGAGGACTTCCTGTCGGTACCTTCCAAAACAAAATGCATCAATTGTGACCAGATTTGTTAACCATTTCACTCTTTGTTTTGACTACTATTTGCACTAAATGTAGCCCATCGATAGAAGTTCTGCGACTCATTTTATGTCAGGTTATATTAGGCTACTAGGTTTTTGTGTTACATTGGCTACTGTTGCCACTGTGCTTTCATATTGGGCAGGTCAAGGAAACTAAAGGACTGCTTTTTACGTATCAGAGGAACAGAGGGGTTTCATTTTTTATTTTTTTTATTTGATTTGATTTAATTTAATTTTTTTATTTTAACCTTCCCCAAAGCTACAAATATTTTTCCTTGAGCCTTCATGAGTGACTGGCAGAAAATGAATGACCCTCCCTTTATGATAAATTAGTTATTAGATTTTCAAAACTCACTCTTGGATGTTTTGAAGTTAAAAGTCAAAAGTTGGAGATGAAATCCTGGAGAAAAAAATCCTTATTATATTATATTAAGTGCAAATGTTGTTGGTTTTTTTTTGTTTGTTTGTTTGTTTTTTGATAAATTTTAAATGAGACATAGAATAAAGTGATATTAATTTCTGATTTTTCCCCCTTTTTTTCCTGACGGACGTTTTCCTCACACATGATGTGTCCAAGGACTGTCGGAAATTTGAAAATCAAATGACAATTTCTGTTCAGTTTCTAGTTATGATAAATGGTGTTATTTTGGTGATATTTAAAGAAAACATGCCATGTATTCTTTACTAATCAGCAGTTAAATAAATACAAACCACAACCATTTTAACATGCCTCCCCCTTTTTGCAGTGCCCCCTCACCTAATAAGTAATGAACAGTCCCTAAACAATAATTAAAAAATAAAAATAAAAACACAACAACAACAAGTTATGACTTTTGCTTCTTTTTTTGTTTTCTTTATTCAGGTCAAGATGTGAAATTAATTACTAAACTACAACTTGACTATGCACTGAAACTGTCTTAACAAATAGTCTCACAAAGACATATAGCCTAACTGGGACTACATATCCTAACTGGCTCCTTTGACCAATGTTACGCTAAATACTCGGCCCATGTACTAAACCAAGCGTAAAGGACAGGGGGGGAAACCTGATGAATGAATTCTCTGTATTTTTAAGATAGACTACTGAAGCATGATGCGTCATGCATAATGCTTTGGACATTAATTTTGCACTCACAGTTTCTAACTGCTTAAAGGTCAGCTTTGTAGGGTCTAGTTGCATTTAGCTGTGAGGCTGCAGAGCTGAAACTTCTTCTGTGTGCCAACCGTGTGGGAAAACTGTAGTGGCTGACACAAGAATGCAAAAGGCCTCATCTAGAGCCAGTGTTTGGTATGTCCCTTTTGGGCTACTGTAAAGTAACATGGTGGACTCTGTGGAAGAGGACTTGTTCCATGGATAAAAACAACTCACTCTTAAGTAATAAAAAGAGAAAGTCTTATTTTCAGGTGATTGTAATCTGTTGAAAGCAGAGTTATGAATATTATATTCCATTTCACACTGGCCCTTTAACACATTTATATTTAAAACATCATTAGCTGTCATTTAAAATAATAATGAGTTCCTTCTTCGCCTTCTCTGAGATCATCCACACAGAAACCATATGCAGAATAAACACTGAAAAATACCAGTAAAACCAAGTGGTTAAACGCTTTTATTTTTGAAGGTCCACACGTGTAACTTCCGGTCTCTGTCGACTGTTCCGTGTAGTTTTGACGCTGCTTGTTGGTGCGCACTCTAGTGGAGACGCCGCAAACAAATCCACATGAAAAGGAAAGCTGAAATACAGCGTTGCGCAACAAGGCGGCGGTTTGTTTCATTTGGCCTCAAGAGCGCATTTTGATGAAACTGATTGAAAAGATAATGTGAACGGAAACCCAGACTTTTCCTGTTGCTGCCCATGCTGTATATCAGGCCTGCTTCTTTAGAATAATGAACCTGCATTGTGTTGGGAAAGTTTTGCAAAGGCAGATCCTGCAGCTTGATGTGAAGTTAATTTGATAATGTGTTTCATGTAGTTTCACTGAGGTCGACACAGAGTATGAATCCGTGGAGACACGAGGTTGCATCCTGTTACTTGAGATATTGTAACAAGCCAGAAACACAGGTCAAGTGTGATGAATTATGGCGAACATCTGTTGCTGCTCACACAATCGCTGAGGGGCCTCCGCTCTTCATCTGCACCCTGCATTGTTTTCCTCATGAGAGCATGACAGCATCACAGCACACACCCAGTGCTGTTCTACATACAGACTCACTCACACGTGCACTCTCAAGGGTACATGCAAATGGTTTGGTTGGAAAACAAAAGAGCACACATGTCTGATAGCCTTGTAAGCTGTGATGGAAAGGGGAACCTATTTTGACATTTGGTTTGGTGTTGCACATGTAGCTACTTGTATATCCACCCCAATCACCAAACACACACACACACACACACACACACACACACACACACACTTGTATGTTATGTCTGGGATTCTTCAAGGCTGTAAAGATAAGATAGGGGCAGACAGACAGACTGCAGAGCACATCAGTCTTGAAAAGG